GTTAGAATCTAACAAATATTTTGGCCCCAGAGAGAGAAAGAGAGACCTTATTCAAAGCAGCAAGGCTAATGACTTTAACTCCCAACCTATCAGCCCGAAGAATTGCCTCTTCTATTTGTTATTTATGCCCTCAGCAGCAAATGGCAAGAAATACTGCAAATGAAGAAAAAATAATTTTCACAATTTATTAGCATTTTGTGAAATAAATAAGTTTATTTGGAAAAATAAAGACATTACAATATCAACCACTTCATCGACAATTACAAACCTGAAAACCATGCCGAGGAACAATCCAAGTCTGGTGCAACCGACCCCTAAGGTTATAGAATGAGATCGAGAAGGTCTTAGCCTTTGCCCACATCACCAGCATCACCACAAAAGCTATTGGCCATAAAGGCACCATGAAAAGTCTGGTAGTGAATGGCATCGAGGCGATCGATCGGAAAACAAAGGGGACGTGCATGGAGGATGTAATGTCCACCACATGGGCCAGGAACACAAAATCTGGTACCCTCCCAATTTCACCTGCATTATTGAGAATTAGACTCCTTTTCTTTCCATGTTCATAGCATTGAGGTATGTTCAACAGGGCCTAATGAAATAGCAAAATGGAAATGAGGTAGAAGAGTGTCAAAAAAATAAATTTGGGGAATTTCATTGATAAAAATGGCATTATATGACTAATCCAATTATTCTGCTATCGAATTATTTTTTTTTTATCACGTAGTGGCATGATTTTTCAAAATCCCTCCTACTATCCATTATTAATAACCCAAGGAGAAGACAAGTTGGTGTTGGAGATACGGATTTATTTTAATAATTGCTTGATGCTTGGGAGACAGGCAATTGTATATGTCCGAAAGATTAACCGGGTGCTTAAAAATTTGAAAATTCCCTAGTTTATTAAAAAAGAAAAAAAAAATCACCACTATTAATGTGACTTGTGTGTTACCTGAACTTAGACTTATCTTCCTGTGTAGCTCCCATGATTTGCTATTGAGGGTGTTTCCCAATGCATCGTAAAGGGGCATGAAAAGGCAATAATTGGAACCCATCTCTCTGTGGTGTAGGCTGTGGTATCTGCAATGGCACAACAGACAACACCAAAACAATTAAGAATTTCAAAAAAGAAACATTTGGAAGGCACCATATGCCTCACAGCAGCAGGTACTCCATTTGGAAATTTAAGTTTTGGGTTAACAACGTACCCTCTCACAATATGTTTTTTTAATATTTTAAGTAAGAACATTCAAAATCAAAAAGATGTTTGAAAATTATTTTGCGAATATGGTCGATACGTATCTTAATAGTTGTTACATACATATACGTATATGGATATATGTATTGCTATACAAGCAATGCTATTAAAATATAACTTAAGAACATAATAAGGAAATATAATGCATTATGACCAATGAATGATAGTGAAATTTATTTAATGCTACAATGGGTCATATCATTAAATGCATTCTACTATCAATTCATTTGTCACAATGATTTTTAAACCCAAATAGCATTACTCATCCCCAAATTATGTCCAAAGAGCATTAGCGATTGCTAAACATGTCATTAAATTTCAAAAAATGAAACAAATATACATAAGAAACAACCGAAACAATAGGTATTGTTTGAAATAAAGTTAATAGCATTCTTGATCCTTAAAATATGCATTTTTTTTAGTCTAGTAATCGTTGTATCAATTTTTCAATTTAATCCCTAAAATATTTAATCTGTGTCAATTTGATTTTTAATCAGACAATCCGTCAAGTTTTTTTAAAGGAATTGACCACATGTCATTTTTTTAAACTGTATCACGTGTTTAACAAGTGATCATTCCATCAAAATTTTAACGTTCTAAATATATAGGGATCAAAATAACACGAATTAAATAATTTAGAACTTTAATTAATAAAATTGATATAATTAGGACTAAACTGGGTAAGGACCAAAGATATTATTAAAATTTTTGAAATATCATTTCTCAAAAAGTTTCCAAACTGGGAATACGAGAGATGCAAAAGGACTGCGCTGGGAGAGCAGCTAATGCATGATAAGATACCTATAAGGCAATTAATGACTTCTCTCCAATCCCAGTTACCTTCATTTATCTCTTCAATCATTCACCCACCACTATTTTCAGACCCACATAAATGTGACAAGTCATTCTCAAAACTATATTTTAATTGTCAAGTGTCTTACAATTATACAGTGACTGGATCTCCCCTCACAAAATCCTTTTTGTTTTTGATTTCTCGCCCACTTCCATAAAGATTTGTGCATAGAGTTTGCTCTTCCTATGCCTAATTCCTAGATCCGTCTTTCGCTTACTAAATATTAGATGACATTCCACCATGTTACCATCAAACCCTAATATTAACATACATAGATTTGAATGATGTATTGATTGTATATGTGTATGTAAATGCCTATGTATGCACGTAATCACTTACGTTGGGGTGTAGATAAGATATCGCAATAGGGGAAAGATCTCAAAAATCTGATGAGGAATAATTTCAACGTTGCAGTGGCCCAAACATCTTAGTAAATCAAAGAGCAGCACATAACAGTAGATCATACTTATTGATCCACATCCAATCAGACAAGTCCCCAGTATTGGAATCCAAGTCACTGCAGCTAATACAACATGGTCCAACAACGTGGAATTTCCAGCTGCGACAGCACATAAAAAAAGGGACAGGTGAGATATAAAGATACACCCGGCCAGCACACATTGATTGAGATTCCCTCCAATATGCTTATTTCGGTCTCCTTCAATAGAAGGTTGCACATTTTTATCGATCTATTAGAGCGCCAAGAAATAGCTTCTCGACATGCACGGTAAGATTGTGGACATCTAACCATTTCAAATTCCATAATAGTAGGAGTCTTATTTCCTGGCCGCCCTTTAGTCCTCAGTCATTCATGGTGGACAATCAATATTAGAGTAAAATTCAAAAAAATGTATATTTCAAGATTTCAACTGAAGTAAGACACACAATTCAAATAAAATTCAAAAAATTGTAATCCATGAGTAAGTCTCATCAACTTTTTTAATGAGATCCATTCATTCAAAAAATAATATGCATTTGTATTACAATTTTTGAGTTCTATTTGAATTTTATAACATCTTTGGCTGGCACACACTACAATAATTATGATTTGAATGACTGCAGGCATGGGAGGACAGAAAATTAAATTGAGCATACGGATTTTAATTGTCTTACCAGTAAAGGGCTGAGGAACAGGTGATGAATGGTGGAGTGAATGGTAATGGGTAAAAAGATAGCTTCCATGAAAACATTTATGAGCCCAATAGTATAGGGGCTCTGAAACCAAAACGTGAAGTATAATAATGGCAATGAAGCCTCTTGTGCTCCACACAGGAAGATTGGCAAGGATTGGGAACATGTAGAAGGCCAAAGTAGCAATCAGAGCTTGAAGAATCAGGAAATTATCCCTGGAAAAAAAAAAACCAATGTAACATAAATTTTAATAAAAATAAAGAGAATCATCATCCAAAATATCAGTCGATATAGATACAGCTGGACCAGGCCATTTTCGTCTTGCCATTCCATTATAGTTGCACGTTTCGTATAAATCATGAGTTTTATACGATTTGGATGAACCGTCCAAAACTTCTCGAGTCCTCATCTTTGAATCGACCAATATTACTATGTGATAAGGTTAACTACGTGGGATTTACATCCCACGGAGTTAATTCTCATTTCAAGAGGTAATTCTCATGCACCAGTCTCTCAACACGTGCAACGAGTGCAATGGCCAATCAGGACTCACATAATTGACAAGGAGTCCAACCCACATCCAAAACCTGGATACAGTTACTACAGTCAATAAAGGCCCATCTCTCTTCATTCATGTTTAATTTGATCTTCTATCTAGTGTCTCACGTGTATCACCCAATACCATTCCGAGACATTGCAACCAATGCATCTCGGTGTCTCCAAGGTTAGGCGATTTTGGATCATGAAATTTATAAATTTCAATATTGAAAGTTAAAAAAAAAAAAAAGGGGGAACACTATATAGAGGAACCTACCAATCCCATTCTTGGTCAATCTGCTTGAAATCGACACCCTGTTGAAGAATCCGGCGATTTCGGGTAAGGAAGAGCATGTTACTGAAAGAGGTGCATAATTGATAGATAAAACCTCTAAGTGCACATAAAATGAGAACATGTAGACACCAAGTTTCAGTCATTGAATTGTCTTGAAGTCTTGAAAACAAGACTTTTCCAAGGAAAGGCCCATAGAGTAGATACTGTTCCAAACACAAAAACAATTGACAGTCAAAATCCAAAAGAAAACTTGTAAAAATGAGAGAGAAAATTGTGGGTCAGTTCATATAGAGACCACACAGAAACATGTAATTAACAACAGAAAAAGCAAGAATATATATGGGTGGACCATAGCTTCTGTATCTGTACCTTGAAGGCACCCAAGTTTTCCCATGGCCAAGCTGATAAGGGAGCAACCATTTTCTGCTCTCTTTTTTTTCTCTCTCCTCTTATTCTGTTCTTTCTCGGTAACCCTGCGAGAAAATTGAAATGAACAAAAAAAATATATAGTTTTACAGATACAACAAACTCTTCCCAGATAATAGCAGCTGGGAAAGAAAGAGGTAGTTTGTTGGGTAGTCCAGCCTCTCTCTCTCTCTCTCTCTCTCTCTCTCTCTCTCTAACTTTGTTTCTATCTCTTAGAGGTCACCACAACTTGGACCTGTAATTCCCACTCCAATGGCATACTTTTATAGCTGGAAACAATTTGCTGGATCTATCATACAAAAAACAGTTGGAACTCTTAATCAGTCTCCATCTATATAAATCTCAAAAAGTCGTCAATCATGGCCCGAAGGCTTACACGAGATCAACGCGTCCTCATTTTGTACCGTTGATGTGGCACAGCTGTACTGATGGTGAATCGGTCTTTTTTTATTTTTGTTTCAAACGATAGGATCCCCTTTTCAATTTCAATTGATTAAAGACAACCGATCTTTCTAACAACATATTGTGCCAATAGTTGCCAATGTACACAAGTTTGTGTATGTAGTTGGGGTAGAAAATAGGGGGGGTGGACATAGCCTGTTTACCTAAATTTAAAATTTTGATATTTGAGATGTATGTTAGATTTGAGTTGCGTTATTTTAAATTTATATTATGTTTGTATAAATCATGAATAAAAAATCATGAATCCATGAGAATCCATTATACATTGCTCTATATAAATTTAAAAATTCATTTGATGCATATCTTACTAAATCATATACAAATTTCACACAATCCTAGATTGTGGTGTTGAAAAAATAAAACAATCTTTATTTTTTCATATAATATCGTGTATATTTTATATTAATTTAACTCATTTATTATATATCATTTTCGACTTAATACCACCATGAATTTAATTCTTGAGACAAGTGTTCAAGTGTTGTAGAATTTTAAGGGTTTAAATCCTTTCTATTGTTTTTTTTTTTCAATTTTTTTCTTAATGAATCATGCACCGTGTATTGCTGGTGAATCTAACTTAAATACAATTGATCTGATTTAAATTCACAATAAAAGATTTATCAAAAAAAAAATCTATTGAAAAGGATGTCATTTTAAAAAACCACCGTCCCTTGAGGTAAGGTAATTTATGAAGGCTCGTTGTTGGTTGAGGGATTTGCTCACAAGGAATAGAGTGTAATAAATTGTTGTCCTTTGAAAGATACAAAACATGAATGAAGTCAAATTAGCTTGCCAATGCCTGGTTATTGACAGGGAAAAAACAGGTACATGCCTCAACAATTCTTAAAAAGTGATCTTTGGACTCTTGTCAAATATCGCTTCCTAGAACTACATCTGTACGTACCCACCGCCCTAACCTACCCCTGGCCGTCCCTCCATTCCACCCTGTAGTAGTCTCGGATGCGTGTATATATATGTTTTAAATATTGTATTAAATCAGATCTACTTTACTAAAAATATGATCCATTTTAAAAACATGGTGAGACTTTAAAATATGATCCATTTTAAAAACATCATACACAAATCCACTTTGCTAATAATTTAGGTAGTATTGTGAGAAGCAAATAATCATTATTCAAGGTCATAGCAATCCCCATAACCCAGCAAAACAATGCAAGAACTTTAACTAATAGCTGCAAATACGCCTCCCACCTATAATATTCACCACCACTCATCCTTCCTCTTCTCATTGACATAAAACAAAAAAAAAAAAAATTAACATTCACATTGCTTCACTTTTCTAGAATTTTTTTGTAACAAATTGTATTAACGAAAATTCTTTTATTTTGTTTTTCAAGTCGAAGAAATAAGCTATTTTCGAAGTGGTAGTTGGTCAAATGGTTCAAGAGAATATAAACAAAATGTTCAATAGCAGTCATAGTGGCTACGTAAGAGCTCAAAGTATAACCAAGAACTTTTGAAATTGGTAATTAAAACTCTTGATTGAATCACACCGGGCAAGATATACAAAATTAATGAAGCATCTACACTACAGATAAAGAAATTTCTTTAAAAAACTGAAAATTCCAAGATCAAAAAGTCAGAATGTTGCAAGTATACATGAACCTTTTGATTTTCTTTCATAAAAGCTTTCTCAAAAAAACATTGACTAAATGAACAATGCAAAACAAAATATTTCAAATCTATACAAATAATTTTACCTTCATACTCTATTGCTCATATGCTAAAATGATTTCCATTTTGGCATCTTTGTAACACAAAAAATGTAACCCAAAAAATAATTAATTAGAAAAAATATGAATTCTCCATCAATTTTACATACCTACAATTGGACTCAGGAATCAAAACTCCGATTTTTATTTAAAAAAAAATCAGATATTCCAACTTTTCTGTCCTAATTTTGCCTCTATTGAACCTAGGCATCAGCCCCATTCATCACATTGAACCTAGAATATCCCAAAAAATCAGCTATCTTCCCACCAAATCCTCCATTTTCTGCATCATTTGAGTGATTGAAGGAGATATACTTCGAAAGTGATTCTTTATTATCTTCCAACAGTTTCCCACAGGTGCTTTGTTACCAAAATTCATAACACCTATGATGCTTTTTAAGAGATATTTTGTGGGACTCCTTTGTTACCAAATCCTCCAAACTCCTAAGTTTTGAGTTAACCCTGTTGTTTGATGTCTTAACCAAGAATCCTAATGTGTTTGACTTGCACTTTTGGATGACAGAAAACAATTTCACCTCCTTATCAATATTGACAACAAGCTTCCTCTCCCCCAAAGTCATCAACTCTCTTCACCCCTAATTATCATCAAAGACAATCTCATCCAATATGGACTTCATTTCAACTTTAAACATCTACATCATATATGAACTATTAAGTTAGTGGTGCTTCAGTTCTACTTGGAACGATAAAATTATATGACATTGAAGGTATATACCCGTCATCCATTATCATGGTCTAATGGAATCGTAGCATCCATAAGCATATGAAAAAAAAATATGATTATTAAAAGTAATTCAAACATAAAACAAACATCTTATTGCATATGAGGATAAATAACATAAAAGGGTCAAAGATCATACCTTACGAAGAGCTGCACCAATAGTCTTATCAATTGTCGAAATGTAATTAACAAAATCCCATATTACTACAAACATGTGCATACCAAGGAAAATCACAGAGATATAAAATATAAAAAGCTCAATTTTATACAGTATTAACAAATGCATCGAGTAGACACACAAATATACATCGAAGAGTGAAATGAATTGCGGAGAAACTATCCAAAGAAGAGACAAGAGACAAAGAGAAGTAGTTTCATACCACACCATGAAGATGCAAACTAAAAATTTCTCACAAAAATGCTTCCTGGTCACATTTTATTGCTATATAGGAACCTATTAGCCAAGACAATAATAAAATTAAACACATTGAACAACCACATCACACAACACTCCATCAAAGATATATATATATATAAATTAGCCACCTTGAAATTTTTTTATGCCATATGCACGAAACACACTCATGATTGACGATGGTCGAAGGGACTAGGAGGAGCAAAAAAATTAACAAACTCAAAATTAACAACCTTGAGAACCCTACCAATTTCTGAGAGGAGGGAGAAAAACTTATCTGCCCATGAAAAAAAACGGTGGCAGCGGGAAGAAACTTAGATAAACCACCAATTTGGAGTACCAAAAAATCAAAAACTTTATCTGTAGCAACATTTCATTGAAAACATGGTATTTGCGGGCTGTGTGGTGGGGAAAATTGGTGGCTGTGGGTGACAGTTGGTGGCTCGATTGATGTTGGTGTCAGCTTGGCAACTTATCGAATAATTGGTATATAGGGAGCTTTGGAGTGTGGTTAGAATGGCTTGCTGAGAGAGAGAGAAAGATATGAAATGGGTTAAAGAGAGTTGAAACAATTCCCATAGCTACCCAAAATTGGAATAGGTGCTAGCAATGGCGGTGGTTGTGCAACAATGTAGAAAGATGGAGATACCCAACGTGGGCGGGCTGACCGCGTCACATGTGGGTGTCATTGGGGGTCCTGTGCTATGGAGGTATGTGTTTGCTATGTTTTGTGAAGGAGAATGTAGTTTTTTTTTTTTGTGGAAAACAGAGAGGAAAGGAAAGAGCCGGAAAAATACTTGGAGGTTGTGCAATGGTGGTGATAGCGGTGGTATGTAGAGACTGATAGTGGTGGTATGTAAAGGCGGTTGTGGCGGTGGTATGTAAAGGCTGTGGCGGTGGCGTGAAAAGGTCTAACGGAGAGAGACAGACGTATTTGAAGGGCAAGGAGAGAGAGACCTATGTTTGTGTGAGAGAGTGTGGGTGTTCGAGTTATAAACGAAATCAAACTATTAGCCCAAGATTAGATTAATTAGGATCGTCAGATGAAAAGCTTGAAAAAGATTTGAGTTACAAAAAACTCAAGATAAATTTTTCTAGCTACTTTATTTTATATATATATCTATATAATAAAATAGAGTTAAGTTTAAATTTTAAAGACAAAAAGAGATCTAAATTGTTTTGAGACAAATCATAAATATATCCAACGGACAACATAATCTAAGTATAAAAGACAGTTCAGATCATCTCAAAAATTTTGATCTAACGGTATACATTGAGTATTAAATTTTATTTTTTCGCCTAACAACATTTTCTTTTTTAATTATTAGATCGTTTCAAAATTATTCCAACTAAATATTTTAATTTTGAAATCCCCCCTCAAACATGCTATTTCCTCACGAATCCAAATTTTTCTCTCTATTTTACTCTCTATCCATCATTAACGCCCCAAATTTCTCTCACGCATATTCCTTTTTTCTCTGGCCCTTCAATCGTGCCCCAACTCTTTCTCTTTCCCCCATCCCTCTTCCACTCACCATCAACCCCACATAACCACCACTCCTCCCTCGACCCCACCCACAGCCACTCGACGCTACCAACAGCCCCGATGCCACCAACAGTCGATACGCCAGTTATATCTTAT